AAGACACATACTCTACTGTTCAACGGAGGGATTGACTGATGATGTATTTTGTTCAATAAGATAATCAAGTAGGTGACTTATTGTGTAACATTTTTGATATCTATTTGAAACGAAACTTGGCTCAGGGATGCATAAACATCAGCTGGTGCATTTTAAAGCTATCAGGGACATCTCAATACATTACTTTCCCTACATAAACATCCCCTACCCCTGTGGAAATTTAGCATCCATTTTGTAAAGTAAGACCCATGGCTTACTGATGAATTGAGTCAATCTTGGGGCCACTGGTGTGAAAAGGTATGACTGTATACCTTCTAATATATTATTGAAATTATTGAATGATTTTATAGCCTATTTATAAATAAAATGATAAAAGTTCAAATAAAATACCTTTTTCTTACCAGACCTGGTCTGTTGAATCACTTAGGCATCCCTAATCTTTACAAAAGAAAAGTGTTTACTTGGACCTAAAGGATGCTTCTCAATAAGCAAATGTAGTAAGACAGTGATTTCGTGAGCGCTCAGATGATGAAAGTTGACAATGCATAGTGGAATGTAGGTAGTACCAGATGTAGACCAACCCATCACTAGGTCAAGATGCCTAGTTTGACATGTTTCATTTCATATTTCCAAATGGTCTACCAAGGACCAGGTTATTAAAGAAATTATCATAAAAAGGACAACTTATTTTGAGGAGGCCTTTCAACTTTTTTAAAGGATTTCATGTCCACTACCTTGATTCAACCTAATAGTAATCCTAAAACATAGCCCGGCAAGTATTTTTCCCTGACATTAGGCAGAAAATACAGCTGTATTGTTGTTATAGTTGTTAAGTGCTGTTGAATCAGTTCAGACTCATAGCGACCCTGTATAGGGTTTCCAAGGAGCAGCTGGTTGGTTTGAACTTCCGACCTTGTGGTTCACAGTCCAGTGGTGATCCTATAGCACCACCCCAGCAGTCCTAATATAGCTGTATAGTGAATGATATTAAGCGTCTCAAGGTCAATAATGTGAGAACTAAAAAGTTTTAGTTACAACTTTTACAGTTTTATGTCATTTGAAATCCACTTTTGGACGTATTCTAACATAAGCTATAAAAGCAAACCAAGCCAAGCACCATGCTCTTTTGAGGGGCCATCAGTATAAGCAATGGAATCCAGTGTAGCCTATAAGATAAACACTAGACTTCTAAGTGCTGGCGGTTCACATCCACCAGTTGTTCCTATACAGAGTCACCATGAGTCAGAACTGACTCAATGGCAGTCAATAACAACACCAACAGGGTAAGCAATGGACTGCTAACTGCAAGGTCAGTGGTTCAAACCCATCAGAAACCCTACACAGGGTTGCTATGAATTGGAACCAACTGGACATCACTTAACAACAGTAATGCAGACATTTGAATTTGATGCGTTTTAAAGAGTTTCTGGACTTTTTAATTTTCTAGGGCGTTCTACCAACTTTTAGATTTTAAAACTTGGATTTCTCTCACAACTTTAACAAAAGATGGTTAAGAATCATGTCACCTTTGTAGAATGTTAGTTGCAACCTTTACCAATGACCTGGAGCAGTTTTACAAATGGCCAGCCTGGAAAGACAACTAAGACAATGTCTTATGCTGCCTTCCTATATATATAGCTCTTTGGAATTTTTCATTCATAAAACGTATTTTTCTTTGATGTCATATAGTAAAATTTCAAAACATAGACAAGGATATTTTATAAGGGCACAATCTCCATTGACTTCCTCAGGCTTAATACATCAATCTAACAAAGCTGACAAATTCAAAGAGAACAAACCCTTAATTGCTTACAGTTAAGAAATTGTCCTACTCAGCAGCATTATACTGTAGTGGTTACGAATCGGGATGCTAACCTCAACGTCAGCAGTTCGAAATTACCAGCTGTTCCGCAGGAGAAAGATGAGGCTTTCTGCTCCTGTAAAGATTTACAGCCTTGAAAACCCTGTGTAGGGTCACTATAAGTCGGAACCGACTCCATGGTACTTCACAACAACAACATCATAACTATAAAAACAATTCTGGGGGCATATCAGTTTCTTGAATACCTTGTTGATATCACTAGAACACTTATAAATAATCACTCTCTTTTTTTCTGATAAACTTAAAACAATGCCCAACTAACTGAAAAAGTATTCTCCCAATCCAACCATATCCTACCTCACACCACTACGTGGAAAAAAAAAAAAAAAAAAAAAGACACTGTATTTAGGGTTTACTGTGTGCTAGATATGGTTGCAAATGTTTTACATATTTTAACTCATTCTATTGGTTTTCTTTTCTTAAATGTTCACTCCAGTGCTGTACTGGAGCTGGCTTGCACCTACTCGCAAGAGCAAACTGTGCTCATTTCTTCCCAGTACCGTGTACAGCGACATTACCTTGGTGGTTTGAAACTGGTCATAGTTGGAGTATTTACAACATGGAAATCAACAAATGTAATTTATCAGATTTTTACACTGCCTCTAAGAGAGCCAGTTGTTATATACATTTACCAGCAAACCTTTGCTAATTATTAGTGACTATGGAGTCCTGGGGTGGTGCTGTGGGCTAGTGTACTGGACTGCAAGGTCGGTAAGAGCTGCAAGGTTGGTGGTTCAGGCTTACTCTATGGAAACTCCTTGGAAACACTATCCTGGGTTGCTCTGAGTTGGAACCGATTTGATGGCACACAACAACATTCTAAATTCTTTTACTGTTGCATTACACACATATATGTAACTGATTTACTACTAGGAGTTTGTAAATTTGACTTTATAGAAATCTAATTGCACCGTGAGTCTGGTGTGGCACTGTATGGTCAGTTTAAACAGTAAGGTTGGTGGTTCAAACTCACCAGATGCTCCTTGGAAAAGTTATACTTTGAACTGACTCAATGGCATTTAACAACAACAATAACAATTAGACCTTATATTTTGTAATAATGCTATTACTTAAAAAATACCTAGCAGTTGAAGCGATATTAGTAAGTTAAAAGTAAAATAAAAACAAAGTAAAGAATAGGTCTCCAGATTTTGTTAGTGGCTTGACAGTATAAAAACCACCCTACAGAACAATGAGGGAGAAAAGAGTACAATGAACTTCCTGCTTCCAACCTTCACTAGAATACTCTACTCGTGGCAACTTCCGCATACAATTACATAGTCAATATAACGCCCTCAAGCACTTCTGAATTACAGAACAAAGGTTAAAACTGGAATCAGCATAATTGTATTAAGCTGTAATATACTCTGATTAGAGTCCTGGTGCGGCCCAGTGGGCTAATGCGTCAAACTGCAAAGTCATTTGAACTGCAAGGTTGGTGGTTCAAGCTCACCAGCTGCTCCTTAGACACTCTATATAGGGTCACTATGGGTCGGAATCCACTCAATGGCAGTTAACCACAACAACATACTCTGATTATCTGCAAACTGATCATCAGTAAGGTGACTTGGTAGCACAGTGGCTAAAGTGCTCAGCTGCTAACAGAAGGTTCAGCAGTTCAAACCCCCAGACACTCCCTAGGATAATGAGGTGGCAGCCCGCTTCCATAAAGATTACAGTCTTGGAAATCTTTGGGGGAAGTTCTCTGTTCAACCAGGTCACTATGAGTTGGAATTGATGGTAACAGGTTTTGTTTATTATATGGATTTGTACGAATTCTTCTGGAAGCAGAATGTTGTATGGTGTCCTTATTTTCCAGACCATAAAACTAGTTTACCGCACACCAAGGCAACATGTTGCTGAGCACCTCCTACAAGTGGGAACATTAGCATATTAGTCTGTTCTTCCCTAAAAGGAATATTCTAAATATGCAAAGAGAATATTATAATGAATACACCTGCTAAGTAATGTTTTTTACCCAATGGATGTGGCCTATACAATTATATCAAATTTACCCATTATAAAACTTGGGAAAAGACATCATTCCCTGAAAAGCACTACAAAATCAGCATTTAAAACAGATTATTTTCCTTTAATGAAAAGATTTATGTTCAGGTCTCACTCTCTCAAAACTACAACATGTATGGCACAACAAAATGGAATGTTGAGGAAAAGATGGAGACAGGTCTGCTTGATAGCCAAGAAAGAAGAGGAAAAGTGGAATGGATTGCTATCTTTAAAGTTAAAACAGACTTTTGACTCCTGTGGACAGCAAAGCCTACACACCAGGTCTTTGCTACAATGTGAGGACCCATCACATCTATTGTCACTGAACCCTCTGGGGCATATACAGCATTGTGTGTTGGATTGCCAGGAGCTAAGGGTTGATTCCATGGCAGCAAACAACAATGGTGAGAATATTTTCATAATAATGAAATCTGGCATAACTTAGAAATTAGCAACTTTATCAGGTAGATACAAAATGGGCTCTGATTTGATTTCCCATTGTGTTCATTGTGCTTTGAAATTATTTCTTAGACTTTTCCCTCAAAGCTTTATTATAATCATCAACTACTATTAAAAACAAAACAAAACAACCTCTCATCTGATTCACCCCTACTTGTATAGGCCTTACTTTTTTTTTGGATGACAATTTGCATTTTCCATGTAAAACTTGGTCAGATAAAGACAGCTCTTAAATCATGAAACATGCTACATATTTGTCGCAAAATATCCAACCTCACTGTCTATGGATGATATATGTTAGTAACCCACAATACTTAACAAAAATGCAATCAAATTTCATAGATTTTTCACCTTTCTAGATAAAAAGAAAAATGTATATATTTCTTAACATACGAGTTCCCATGCCAAAAGTGTTAACAGGAAAAGGCATATGAAAGATTACACATTTAAATATAATCTTCCTAGTTTGGGGAAATCAGAAATCACTTAACATAATTTAATTTCCATCCCATTGACATATGAGCTGGCCTAGATTGGAATCCCTCCTGGATCCATTTATATTCCATATTGCACACATAGACATTTCCGCCCTTAGACATCTACGACCGCTAGATGGTGCTGTGGTGCCCTGTTGAGACACATTCTCACTCACTTGCAATCTCTGTCCTCCAAATCGAAGTGTGGATTGAAGTTGATCATAATTCTCTGGTATGGGTCCGGAGCTTGAATCAGCCATTCACATTTTTCACTTGGGTGATAAGACTGAGGATAACCAGGAGATGTAAGATACCCAGGGTTTTCAATTTTTATAGTATCGCCACATTTATCTGCAATGAAAATAACAATTTAACGGATGTTTCCCGTACGCCCTGTTAGTTAGTCTAGCTTTATATATAAAATGTCAGTATTAAACATTTCACAACTTTTTAAAGAGGGAACACCAAGAGGTCTCCAGGGGTTCTTAAAGAGACTCTGCCACCAATACCCTATCAAGAACCAATCTTTGATCTCTGCATTTGCACAGGAAGGTCCACCAAGTAAGATGTGAAAGTACCTCCCCAAGTACTTCCCACCCCAGAAAGTTCTTCTAGTATTAAAAACATTAAATCCCCTCAATTGATGTTAACATGGTCCCCAGGGAACTTCTGCTAGCTTTAATTATCCCCAAGAAGTGTAATCGCATTAAGTAGCAAGTTCTAAGTGGAAGGTGACTACAAGATCCCCTTCCACCCCTTGTATGGCTTTTTGATGATAAGCCTGGTCTATGTCATTGATCAGTGGGGATTGTCTTCAAGACCTGGATTGGCTTAAAGCCAAACCTTTTTGTTGTTGTTTTATCTGCCCATAAATCTAAGTGATTCTGAGTTATCTCTGCCCTTGGGATCCAGATCAACAGAGAACAAAGTATATTTGGTGAAGCAGAAATAATTCTGCTTTACTTCTCTAAGTGAAGTTGCTCAGGCTTGGAGACCAGATCAAAGCAATGGGGCAGAAAGAAAAATAAATAGCCACACAGCATTCATTCTAATTACCCAAATGTTGGGGAAAAAACTCACCACAGTGAAGTCTGGGTATCACATATGGTAAGCCACATTGTCACATTCTGGGAAAGGTGAGCTAACTAGTTTTGAGCCTTCATTTAAAAAAAACAACAACAAAAAAAAACCCCACTGCTGAAGTGCTTCACAGAGCACCAAGTAAACGAGTTGCCATGACTGCTTTATTGTTTAGTGTAGATTCTCACTGTCACTTCTGGTTTTTTAGGATGGGTTTCCTAATGGAGAGTCTCAGCTTGAAATGATACCACATTCATTGATGCTTAATTTTAAGCTGTAAAAATTCACTACATAAACTATATAAGAGGAACAGGTATGAAGGCAGTGAGATATATAAGCCTATCAATCACAAAATTTCAGTAATGGTATATACAGATTTTAATATCGCATCTAATAGGTTCCCTGTGGAAAGAGAATGGCATTCTTTGCTCTCAGCATGAATTTATAAATCTACAGAATTTTATTACAGGAAAACCAGGTCAAATGGAAATGAAAGATGAAGTGCACATCAAAAATGCATAAGGCTACATGCATTATAGAAATCAGTTCCCATAAATTAAAAAGAAGACAATATGAATTACATTGTTTTGTGTGTTTTTTCTCAATTGTGAAATGTGTCCTAGACCTGGAAGGGATGGGGGTAGTCTTATACTGAGTTTCCTTTGCCTGGGCTTTGAAAATCACAAGATTTGCCAAGACGAAACGATGTTGCAACTGGAGTTCAGAATCTCAGCTAATGGTCCTATTGGACCCTGTTGTGTGATTCTATGGAGACTCTTGCATTATTTTCAATGTGCAGAACTTGGAAAGTGATCCAGCTCTGTACAAACATCATGGCAGAGTCTGGCATCTGTTAGAGGAGTGAAATAAAACAGCACAGCTTCTAGTCACTCGACAGAGTCACTTCAGAAGACATTGAGGTGGACTCAGTACCATACCAGAGCTCTTTAATCTGTGACTTCTAAGAAAGTGACAGTGTAATAAGATAATGTGAACTGCTAGACTCCCTGGCTCTGTTAAATCTCTCTAACAGTTGATTAAGAAAGAGCAATTTCTAATGACTCTGGACCATTAGTCCTAAATAAGGTTAATGAATTAATTTAGCAGACACTGGTACTCAGAGGAGGTGGACATGGTTTTAAGAGGACTGCTGAGTTACAGAGGCATTAACTGGCTCTGGTCACTCCAATCACAGCGATATGGCAGTAACTAGCCCAGTTCACCAACTGACACTTAGGTTTATAGCATTCCCTATATGTCTTCTAAGAAAAGTAAGTCATGTACACACACACACACACAAACACACATGCAAACACACCATGCGTTTATCTGTGGAATTCACAGTCTAAAGACAGAGAGATTTTTACATTAGGTTTTTAATCCACCCTGTGTACATCTCTCTTACTGATTTAATCTCAGGAGTTGTAGAAGGCAGCGGGTGGGTTGCTACAATCCCTAGAGTCTAACCAGTTGCGTGCTCTTTCAATTGGAGGAGAATGTTATTTCATTCCCTGCCAGATTATACAAAGATGCCACCGATTTAGGTTCATTAATAAAGTGAACTCCACATTCATAATTTTTCTCTGCATGCCTTTTACTTCTAAGCATATCTTATAGAAAAGGACTTGGTAGCTCTTGGGGGGTTCTATTGCTTAAATCAAAAAACCTCCAGAAAGCATATTAGAGAGATTAACTTCTATTATAAAGATGTGATTTAAATTCCTCTTGGTATAAAATCCTCCACTTGCAGTCTCTTATTAAAACAATATACCACGCAAAGTAGTGGATGTTTTCTTCTTCTAATTACTTTGATTGAAATCCAAGTTAGACAAGAGTAAATATTTGATAATTAGTTAATAATAATTGCCAAAGACTTAATGTAAAGATAATTTCATACTCTTGCTTCCACCTACTTTTTCAGTTGAAGTCAAACATGCCTACAACCAGAACACATTCTAAAACACATTATTTATGTTCCATAGTATTGTTTATACCACAGCACAGCCTTTCATTTACTTAACAGTGAGTGGTTTGAAAAGCAAAGTGGACGCTGTAACGAGGCTAGGGATTTCCATATATACTGGTGCCTTGCATTGTATATATCAGATTCCTTTATTGACACTATGTAACTTTCATTCAAACTCCGGATGGATTAGGGATGAGTTAGGAAAGAGGGGGCAGGGGTTCCATGAATCCACAAACCGCTATCTTTTGCAGGCACCTACCAGAGGAAATAGTTTGGGGGAGCTGCAAGAGAATCAGGAATTTCTCCTGGTAAACTGTTCATTAACTTTTAACTGCCATCTGATTTTTGAAAGAGAGACTCATCTAATTGCCTTTGGGAGGAAACATTATTAAGATAATTGGTGTGCTGATCTGGGAAGGTACGCGGCTCTGTTTTGCAATAGAGATAGGAAAACCCCCACAACTAAACGACCAACTTCAGGAGGGAGTAAGTGGACTTGAAACCTCTTGCTATAAACCTACTTGCTTTGATTTCTTTATTTCTCCGCCCAGATAAAAGTTTCCTTCGCCCGGGTGGATGGCTTCTCCTCGGGAGTAGGGTTACTGGGGTAGAAGGGAGAGCCCGGCTGGACACCCCGCAGCCTGGGAGCCCCGGCGCGGCGCTGTCAGACGCGCCTCCTGTCACTTACCGTTGCGAAAAGCGCTGGCCAGGGCCAGGGTAAGGGCTACCGCGGCACAGAGGAGCAGCACTCCCTTCGCCATTCTCTCTTCTCCGGATCCTCAGGCAGAAGCGGAAGAACGAGCTTGTGGAGGGAAAATACAGCAAAGACAGTACTCTAAAAAGCCCCAAATGCTCCAACTCCGCTCAGAGCTGTAAAATCCTCCAACCCGTCTTGGCGAAAGGAAAGCAGCGAGGCAATGCCTTGATCCGAGAGCAATGCTTCTCTTTTTGTGTCTCAAGTCGCCTGCATCCTGTCATTTAGCTCCGGTTTCCTCTCCCTTTTCCCACACTTGTTCCTCTTCCAGGAACCACTGCCCGAGCCATGTCTCACAAAAAAAAAAAAAAAAAAAAGGTGGGGGCTGGCGGGGGGGAGGAGTGAGGTAGGGAAACACACACCAAAGCCAGTTTCCAGAAAGGGTGGAGAAAGAGGAAAAAAAATCCAGATTGTCTCTGGACCCGTTGGAGCCGAAGAGCTGGCGCCCAGGGAAGGTCCGGGGTGTCTGTGGGAAGGAGAGGAGCAAGCAATGAAAAGATGAGTAGGAGACAGAGGAGTTTCACCAACTGCACCCTCGCCTCCCCCACCTCCTTCCGTCCTCCCCCTCCCCTTCTTGAGCCCTTCCCTTGCTTCCTCCCTCCCCTCTCCCAGCTAAGAGCTCGCCAGTAATTGCCTGACAGGAGACCCTGAGGAACAAGTTTCCCTCACTGTGCGTTCCTGTTCGTCTCTCTGTCTCTCTCGGAAGCCCTACAGGGATCGCCACGAGAAGGAACGCGTTGTGTATCTGGGTGTATTTGGGGAGCGGGCTTCGAGCTTGTTGCCAGCCACAGCGTAGGACTTGCCTACCTTGGCGTGCTTCGCTTCTCCACCCTAGCATGAAAGTCCGGGAGGTTGCCGGCCAGCTAGGATCCGGCTGCCTAGTAATGCGTGCGGAGCGCCGGCGAGGTGGCGGCGGCTTCTTGCAACTCCAAATCCTAGTGCTGGCTGGGAGGGTGGCTTCTGGGCGCCAAGCTTGGCAGAGAAGCCGCAGTGCCAGCCTCCTCTCCTCTCCACCTGGCCAGCCCGAGACCTGTGGCAGGGAGGAGCCAGGCACCCGCTGGCACTCCGGGTCAGGGCTAGCAGGCCAGAGGTGGAAAGACCAGTAGTTGTGGAGAAGCACAGCAAAGCCGGGAGCTGAGTGGTAGTGTCTGCGCCACGTACAACCGAGTCAAGCAGCCCAGGCATGCGTGGCCACAGGGGGTGGGGGGGTGGGGTATTGGGGACGTCCACAGGGTGGGAGACACTTCCAGTTAGGGGAGAGCTGCCACCTGATCCCGCCCAGCTCAGAGTCTCTGAACCCCAGGGTATGGTGGTTTGGAAATTAGGGGTCCATAATCCAGCTTCTCTGCATCCCCAGGGAGGAGGAAGGTCAAAGGGGGGAGGTGGACACAGGGACTCTCACATGGTCCACACAGTACCGGCTCCCAGCAACAGGTACACACCGGTCCTATAGCTTCCTGCCCACCCCCACCTCCCCACGGGAGACGTGTTGGACGCTCCCCAGTTCCATCCCCTGAGGATTCCAGAGAATTGCTTTTGAAGTGCGTCTGTGGATATGAATAGCAAGGACATTTCTGAGAAACAAACAGGTTGCAGTCACGCATCCAGCCCCCTTCAGAGCGAGCGGTCAATGCCCACAGACTCCCATTGAAGCAGTTCATGAGCAAGGTGAACAATCACTGCACCTTATGGAAATAGGAGTTTATCTACACACCCTCCAAATCAGAGCCTTATTCCTACCTGGCACAAAGAGCTGGCAAAGGAGATTTAGGAATGTTGGCAAGGAGACTCTGGTCAAAGGTTTTGGCGGAAGAACTAGGAGAGGACATGGAGACAAGCTGACCTAGCGCACCGGCCAGAGCAAGGCATTCACATTCTCAGATTGGGGCTGGGCAGAGTGACGCGAGCCACAAAGGGTGCAGGCGGACAAGGTGCCCACGCTGAGGCACAGCCCGCGGAGTCCGCACCCAACGGTACCCCCCCCCCCGGGTTCTTGCCACTTTCTGGATTCAAGGTGTGTCAAGCCATTCTCACCCCACCCGTGTCCGTGGAGCCCCACATCCTAATCTTGAAAGGGAGGCACCTCGGATCCACAAGCCAAGCCTATCTCCAGAGCGCCCCCTTGCTCTTTAGTTTCCTCCTTTTCAGGTCACCGACGACCGCTGGGAGACACTCGCAGGGAGGTTCTGGGTGGAAAGGTGACACTTGTTTGTGTCCAGCGATAGAGGCCGTGGCAGGACCTGTGGGTAGCTTTGCGCCTTAGCCAGGCAGTGAAGACAAGGAGGTAGAAGGAGGGGGAAGCCGCGCCCAGCGCAGAGCCTCGGGGAGCTAGGACTCCAGCGGAGGAAACCCTGTCGGTTGGTTACTACTGCACGTCGCCGCTTCCCTGTACTGAATGCAGTCCCTCTAGTCTCTGTTGTCCCCAGCTGCGCCGGATCAACCGCATCATCAGTTTTGGGGTGACCCCGAGCCACCTCAGTCCAAGACTGAGGCGGCTCTCAGGACCCGATATGTTGACCAAGAAAGCGTGCCCAGAGGGTGCAGCGTTAGGGGCGCCCTAGAGTTACAGACAATCGCCTTCGTCCTTGTGGGACTCAAGCTGCTGTAAGGCTCTCTCTGGAGGGAGCCAGTTCTGATCCTTCAGAGCTTCGTTGGGGTGAGCGAGGGGGCACATACAGGAGACTTGAGCTGTGTTGTTTTTAGAAAGCTGCCTCCAATTTCCCTTCCCCTTTCCCTGCTGAGTATGCATTTCCCAGCCTGGACTTGCAAGAGCAACAAATAGAGTCACCAGGTCCTGCACTCAGGAGGGGCATGTCTCCCAGCCAGACCTCGTCCCCTCCAGGCTCTGGCGGCAGTCGCTCCTCAATCTCCCGTGCGCCTTCCTCAAGGGATAGGTTCCTTCAGTCCATCAACGCACAGAGAACTTCTGTCTCCTTTCTTGCTCACCACCTAAGCACTTTTGCCATCCTTTCTCCAACCGCCTAATAAGACATGCACATATATACTATAGGGGAAATATCATATGCAAGTTCTGCCACTGATTTTCCTGGTCTTAGCTGATTTGAAACTTTTCTAGATTCCTTAGTTTCCATGTACAGACGGGATAATACAACACCACCACACTGATTGATAATTGCCGGCTAGTGGGTTGGTGCAGAGCAAACTGTCCCTGTTAACAACCTCTTTCTTCTGCTCTTGATTCCACTAAGTGCTGAAAAGGGTCAGTTTTAGATTTCTACAATTCCCCAGCAAGGGAGACAGACCAACCTTTATATAAGAATAAGTGATAGACACGGGAAGAATTTGGCAGTGTTCCTAGTTGAATTTATTTTGGTCTCATGAACACATCACTCTTTCCCGACATCACAAATCCCCAGACTAGCTAGGACCCACTTCCACTGAAGGGAAGATTCATCGACTACACTCTCAGAGCGCTGTACTGAGGCCCTGGGTCAGCAATATTTAGCCCCATTGATTGGCATTCAGAGCCTGCTCCAAGAAAAACCTGGCTTGGATCTCCCAGAGTCCTGTTGGAACCTCCGGCCATCATTAAGAATAGACTGGGTGGTAAATGCTTGGTTCCTCTTTCATCAAGCTCTCATCAGTTTGCCCGAAATAAGATGAGATCCATTGTTCCCAGAAGGCCATTTGAACCACTAACTCCTTTATAGTATTACAGGTTGATGAAATATGGAGACTCAGCTTGGTATTTCAAAATTGTATCTGGTCTTAGTCAAGTTTTTTAAATCATCAAAACACACATCAGAAATGCAATAAAACAATATAGTTTTAGGAAGATTTAACCTCATTTGAGACAAAAATAGAAGACGAGACACTAGAAAAGTACTTAAAATTGGAATTTAAAGTGGTTAGGAATTGGGCTGTTAACCTCAAGGTCTGCAGTTTGAAACTACCAGCTGTTTTGTCGGAGAAAGATGAGGCTTTCTGCTCCTGTAAAGATTTGCAGCCTTGGAAACCCTGTATAGGGTCACTATGAGTCAGAACCAACTTCACGGTACTTAACAACTATTGTGGCGCTGTAGGATAAGAATTAAACTGCTCATCACAAGGCTGACACTTAGACTCTTTCAGCAACTCCTCAGAAACCCTACACAGGGCCGCTATGAGTCAGAACCAACGCAAAAGCACACAACAACAACTATGATTCAAGACAATTCAATTAAAGTGACACTTATGTCAAATAAATGTTCCTACAATAAATGTCCTCTGGCTCTCATTTATAACTAATCTTCTTAATTTGTATTGGCAGAGGAAGGAAGGAACTAACAAAACAATCTTTACTTTATGGTACTTTATTTTTGTGCTTTAAAAATATCTTGAAAGCACTTCAAATATTACAGAAAAGGCAACCATCTAAAGTTTTAAGATAAAGTGTTCATACAAAGTGGAATACAGTGTACACAACCGCAAGATACAGGAAGTCTGTTAATTTTGATGGTAGATGCGAGACTTTTTGTTGATGGTACAGGTTAAGTTAGATTATTATCACTCATTTGCTCTAAAGACCAAGTTTAGATTATTCTATCTTAATTGTTGTTGTTGTTGTTGTTAAGTGCCATCGAGTCAGTTCTGACCCATAGCGACCCTGTACAGGGTTTCCGAGGGTGTAAATCTTTACGGGAGTAGAAAGCCTCATCTTTCTCCTGTGGAGCGGCTGGTAGTTTTGAACCGCTGACCTTAAGGTTCGCAGCCCAATTCGTAACCACTACGCTACCAGAGAGCTATTTTTAATTGTTGTGTTGCTGTTAGGTGTGGTAGAGTCAGAACCCACTCAGAGAGACCCTTTGTAAAGCAGAATTCAACAATGCCCATCCTGAGCCTTTCTCACAATTATTAGTGCTTGCACCCATGCTGGCCGCCACTGTGCTAATCTGGCTCATTGAAGATCATCCTCTTTTTCACTGATACTCTACCTAGAATGATGTCTTTCTCCAGGAACTCATCCTGATAACATGTCCAAAGTACATAAAGTCTTGCCATCTTCACTTCTAAGGAGGGTTACAGCTGTACTTGTTCCAAGAAAGATTGGTTTGATTTTCTGGCAGTCCATAGTACGTTGATATTATTTGTCAAAATCATAATTCAAATGCATCAGTTCTCCTCTGGTTTTCCTTATTCACTGTCTAGCTTTCACATGCATATAAGGAGGTTGAAAATAGCAACTTAGATCAGGCACACCTTACTCTTCAGAATGACTTCTTTGCTCTTTAACATTTTCAAGAGGCCTTTTGCAGCAGATTTGTCTAATGCAATATGCCAGTTGCTCTCCTGACTGCTGCTTCCATGAGCATTGATTGTAGATCCAAGCAAAATGAAATTATTTGATGATTTTTTGATGATGTTGGATCAGCACTGGACTGCAAGCCACAAAGCTGGCAGTTCAAACCCACCAGCTGCTCTTCGGAAACCCTATTAGGGGTTGCTATGAGTCAGAATCAACTCACTGGCACTTAAACAGCAACATATGTTCTCTGTTTATCATGATTTTATTTATAGATCCAGTTGTGAAG